GCTTCAGGTAGTCTGAAGTCAGTGTGTGGGATTGAGACCAGGAGGGAGGAAGGTTAGTGGTGTAGACAGGAGATGCCCTGTAGGGTTTGACTGAACATAACATTTGCACAAGATTAAATGGAGCCATAATATTAAATCCACTTGGTGAAGCGCCAGAGCAAGTTAGGATTTGTCCGTATTGGTGAATGCGTACAAGGCTTGCTAGCATGTGGTAGCTAGTCTTGATTGTGCCCCTTGTGTAGACAAGTTACTGCCTTCTCATTCAAGGAGGGAAAAGCTTGTGTTTTGCTGGAAACAGTTAAGGGAAAACTACAGCTAGCTCTGCTTGCCCAAACGTTTTGCAATATGTAATGAGGCAGGGTGACTGTTACTTGCCTCAGCTGAGAATCTGGAAGGCTATATAAGCCTATCCTCCCCCCTCCAGTTTTAACTGGAAGTTTTAATTCCCCATTCTCAAAAAGTTGAGGGCCTCAGGACTGTGTCTGCCGTGGCGCGCCCCCTGGTTCCGCAGCTCTGAGGCAGTGATAGCACTTCCATCTCCTGTAGTGGGTTTCCTGTCCTTTTTTCTGCCCTGGTTCCCAAGTGTAGACGTTGGCAGGTCCACAAAAGGATACTAAAAGGAGTAGGCAGGGATGTTCTCATTCAACTCCTGTACTAAACAATTGTAGGTGCTGCAAGGGGAATGTGTGGACAAGGGGAATGAACCACAGAATGTCCACAATGTGCTGTCCCTAAATAGCATCTCCCTGTGTCACTGCTGGAGATAGACTAGTGGGCTAGATGGACATTGGTCTTACATAGCAGAGCGTTTCTTGTGCCTGTGTTGCTCACCTTGTGCTTTGGAGCACAGGCCAGGTGTGTAAACTGGGTTTTGAGTAGCCAGATGGTTAAAATACTGGTCAGTGTAAATACTGTTTGTACAGTTCCTCAAGATTGCCTTTTCTTGCAAAACATGTTAAGGAAATACTGTTACTTCATTCTCATCGAAGCAATTTGAATGGAATAACTATCTTCATTCCTTCTTCTGTGCTAAAGGCACGCCGTAATTTGTTTTCAACTTGGGACATCAGTTCTTAGATGGCTTAGCCTCAAACCTTAGGTTTTGTATTAGTTTAGAGATTTCTAATCTAAATTGAGAGTGTTGTTCAGAGCTTTTTAGAAAGAACGGTGAAGTGAAATAGAATATGCATCTCGTTCTTCAGATTTCACAGAGAATATTTCCTGTAAGAAATACTGGCTGGTGTCAGAGTGACTTTTTTTGAAGCTGGGTGACTGAAGTCAGCTGACACTATGTATTAAGCGACTGAAAAGGATATTTAAAATGTTAAACTTCAGGCAACTGTTTTGGGAAACTTGGACACTTAGGTGTTTGTGCAAGGCTTTCAAAATTTTAGCACTTTTTTTTTTAAATAGCCAGAGGCTCTTATAATACCTCTGCCACACAAGTGTGTGACAGATATAATGAAATCAGGTTTCTGATGTCTTTCTGCATGTTGACTTTCTGATCTTTAATGAAAGATGAGCTTATAGGGTTTCTTTGTTCTGCCCAGCTGCCTGTTTATTTTTGCAAAACTTGTGGAGGTCTCAAACGCATTAAGTTCCTAATCTCCTGTCAAGTTTGACGGAAATTAGCCAAAGGGGTTCAAAAGTTCTATAGGGAAGGAAAGAAAGGGCATGCACGCATGCACACAGGGTATTATTGCATAAATCTCATTTCATGCTAAGAACACATGTGCTAGAACAAAAAGCCTTTTACTGTACTGCATTTCATGCTGTAATGGAGTTCTGCGTCGTCTGCAGCATGAATAGCCATCTGATAGGACACGGTGATGCTGGAGGCTGAGCTGGGTTTGGTGTGGTCAGGGTAGCGAGGAAGAGATGTCAGTAGGCAACACAGCAGGTCCTGCTCACGGTGCATCTTGCTCTAGAGGACTTCCAATTTCATGCTGA